ACAGTGGTATATGAATATAATCTCAGCACTGGGAAGGCAGAGACAGGGTCCTTGGAGTTCTCTAGTCAGCCGTCTTGGCCTAATCATAAGTCTAGGCTAATGTCCTACTTGGTAAGTCTAGGCCAATGAAAGACCCTCTCCCAAAACACAAGGTAGACAGTGCCTGAGGGGCAATAACTAAAGTTGACCCTTGATTTCCACAGATGTGCACACACATGTGCACTGGCACACAGGAACACACATGCAAGCATACACACAGAGCACAATTACAATGATTTCATTAATCATTATTTGAATCATTAACTCATTAATCAGCTGTGATGTGAAAGGAACAACAAGGCATGTGAACTTCATCAAAAACACTAACCAAGGAAGAAAGGGCTCCCTGAAGAAGAAAAGAGCATTCACAGTAAAAATTCAAGGATAAGGAGTTGGCTGGGTGTTTATGGCTTGAAATGTCTTCCGTAAGATCGTATGTTTGAACTCTTGGAACCCATCTGGTGGTACTCTTTGGGAAGGCTGTGGAACTTTTAGGAGGTGGAGCCCCACTGGAGGAAGTGGACCACTGGGAGCCAGCCTTGAGGCGCTGTAGCCCGGCCGCACTTCTGTTTCACTCTCCGATTCCTGAGTGCTATAAGGCAGCCTCTAGCTCCCGCCACCACACCTTCCCTGCCTGCTCACATATCCTCCCTGCTGAGATGTGTGTCTCATGTGTCCCTCTGGAACTGTGAGCCAAAAAAGAAAACAACAACAAAAGAAACCCTCTCTCCCTTAAGTTGCTTTTGTTGTCGAATTTTAGAATAGCAACAAGTAAATGACTTAAAAAGTGTGTGTTTGCAGAGCCCTTAACAGGGAGAGAAACCAGAGGGATAAATAGGAAGTGCCTTTCTTAAGGAACTCTCCAGTCTAGTAGGGAGGAAAGAGTCTTCATTTTATCGGCTTCTTAGAAATAGTGGAGTCTCTCTATCACCAGGACACAGAAATACATCGCCACTTAAAAGTTATCCTGGGACTCAAAGAACTCAGCCTCATATCTTCAAAGGTGTATGAAATTTTCTTCTGTAAGTGCTGGGAACTTTCCCAATAGTTTAATAAAACACCTAAAGCTAAGAGAATAACCAATCCTGCAGAACATGTCATGATTGCCAACACATCAAGGCTGCTTGTTGCCTGGGGATACATGACTGCTAAGGAACTTCGTAGCAGCCAATCACAAAAGCCTAAAGAAGGAATGCTAAAAAAAAAAAAAAAAAAAAAAAAAAAAAAAAAAAAAAAAAGTGAGACTTTGAAGTTCTATAAAACTGCTTGGTGACAGATAACAGTATTATTAATAAAATTATTGATGTTGATGATGACATTGTTAATGATAACTGAATACTCTTCTCAACTTGGATGTCCATTAATACACTCAAGTAAGTCTGTGAACAATTATTACTATTGCCCCAAATCTACAGATGAGTAAGAAAAGAGATGAGACCTCAATATTAGTTACTTTTCTATTGGCTGTGACCTTGACCAAAGCAACTCACAGAAGGAAGAGTTCATTGGGGCTTATAGTTCCAGAACATAACAGTCTGTCGTGGCTGCACAGGATTGGTGGCAGGCACAGGAAACTGGAATATCATATCTTAAACTGAAAGCATGCATCAGAGAATGCAAAGAGGAAGTAGGATGAAGCTGCAGCTCTCAAAGCCTGCCTCCAGTGACACACTTCCTCCAGCACTTCCTCCAGCAAGGCTGCACCTCTTAAACCTCTCCAAACAGCGCCGCCAACTGGGGACCACACAATGCCACAGCACATGCATGCCTGCACTCACATACATGTGAAGTGCTCATGCACAAGCATACACACACACACACACACACACACACACACACAAATAAGGATAAATACTGTGAAATAAGAACATAGAAAGGAACCATAGTAAACACTAGTGAACTAAGTACATCAGCCAAAACATTAACAGAAACAGATGGTTTGTTTTTTATTTTACAAGGGATTTGCCCAAAATACAAAGACCACCCCAAAATTCAAAGATATACAAATATTGTTTTAAAGAACCCTGTGATAGGGCTATACTAATATCAGACAAATGTTAGCATTCTGTGAGAGATTCTATATAGTATTGAGGAAATGATCCCCCTAGAAAGGAATAAAAATGATCCCCTTTTACTCAACTTATGATCATACCAGAAGTATTTGAAGTTAAAAAATAACACAGCTAAAAGAAGGAGTCAAGCTGGGCGTGACATTAAAAGCACTCGCCTTTAAGCCCAGCACTGGAGAGGCAGGGGCGGGTGGATCTCTGTGAGTCCAGAATGTATAGAAGGAACACATCTTTTTCAAACCCCGGGATCGTTGACTTCTAAACGATCGCTTATGCTCAAAGGCAGGATTCGATTCCAGGGACAGCATCTACTACCATCCTTGGTGGAAGGAAAAGACCTGAGGAAAGTTTAGCTGAAATATGCATGGATCTGAAGACCTTAAAGTGACTCTTCATTCTCATGGAAGGAAGAACGGGGATCCTCCAGACTTATTCTCAGTGGGGGAGTAATTCTTAAAGGAGAAAAGATTTACAACTAAATAAAAATACCATATATATCAAAACCTGTGGGAAGGAGCTCGGGTGTTACTTAGAAGATGCTTTATGGACTCAAGTGCCTATCTGAGAAAATAAAAGGGGCTGTGGGCGTAGTTCAGTGACAGAATTCTTGTCTCAAATATGCATGGTTCAATCCTCAACACCCAAAACAGAAAAGATGAAATGAGAAGGTAGGAGAGACGAGAAGAGAGGAGGAGGAAGGAAGGAAAGGAGAGATTCATGACTGTGCCTCTACTTTGACAAGGCAGAAGAACAGAGAAAACACAGAGTTTGTGAGAGGAAAGAAATACTAGTTTTAGTGCCCAGGGGCTGGGGAGCTTGCTCAGTGCTTAGGAACACCTACTGCTCCTGCAGAGGACCAAGGTTTGGTTCCTAGCACCCCATCCGGGGGCTTACAACTGCCTGTAACTCCAGTTCCAGGGGATCAGAGCCTTCTGGTCCCCACTGGCACCTGCACTCACATGGCACACATTAATGCACCCAGGGACAAACACATTTTCATAGTTATGGCACCCATTATAGTATAAAACAAACTCCTTATAAAATACAAGACAAATTATTTTTAAAACTGAGTTTTGACACAACACAAAATTGATTCTCTTTAAATTTTACAAAGTGACAATAGTAACAGAATAGGCAAGAGAGTGAAGCCATGGGAAATATGAGTTCTGGGGTGACTGGCTGGCTGGAGTCTCAAGCCTTTGCTCTCCAGCTGCCTGGCCTTGGGATGGTACATCATCCTAGCATTTTTAGAGTCACAGTTCACACTCTGGTGAGTCTCCAGTGCCTGTGCTCTGATTGGCACAAGACCCCCAAGTTAGGTATGCTCCTTTAATTGGTGCTACGATCCCTGCTTTACAGAAGGGAAAGCAATGTTTGAAAAACGTCTCTGATTCTCCCTAAGTCATTGAACCATCAACTCTTGAAGACAGTGCTTCCCCACTCCTGGACCTGCCCTCTCCATCACTGTGCTCATCTTCCAGAGAGGAGGAAAATATTATGCTCACTCCATGCAGTAAGGTCCCGATTGCTGTGTGCTGTACTGTCCAGCCAACTTTAGGGAAAACACAGCTAAGGTCAAATACAAAGTAGAAGAGAAGCAAAAGGCTCCTCCTGCACACGTGTAGTTTCTACTCCTATGAATGGTCGCCAATAATTAACGTCACATTGCAATCGGTATCTAACATGAACTCAGTGTGACGCTAAGGTCCTTTGGTGCCTACAACACTCATTTTCATGGATTGTATTGTTGTCCTTAATATAGACTGAGAACCTCAGGTGCAGAGAAATAACAGTCAAATAGCTGCAAGCCAGCAGAAGCAGAATGCCAATCCAGACCACCTGATGCCAGCACTGCCGTTCTTACCTCATTGTTAAATTTCCAGGCCCCAACTTTCTTACCACCAACTGTGGGTGGTAAGACTCACACATGAGCTGCTCAGATGAAATGAGACAGGGTAGCTAAAGCCTCCACACCACACAGTAGCCAGCACACAGTAAGGGATGTTCTAGTAAAGGCGGAGGAGAAGCAGAGAGAGGGGGAGGAAAGGGGGAGGGGCTATGGGGGAGGGGCTGAAGGGGTAGGAGGAGCGACAGTGTCAGCAGCATCTGGTGGGGGTGGTCCCAATGCCTGGTAAAATGCCAGAATTTACTTCCTAACATTCTCGAAGTCAGGATGGGGAGATGGTTCAGTGGGTAAGAACTCTTACTATTCGAGTGTGAGGACTTGAATTTGAATCCTCTACACCCATGCATGCCAGTAACCCCAGCATCAGGAGGACTGAGACAAGTGGAGCTTGTTCACCAGGCCGCCTAGTCAAGATTCAGGCTTACTGGGAAAAAAACCTATTTCTAGGGAATATGGTGGGTGGCTATAAGGAAGATGCCCAGCATCCTCATCTAGCCTTCCCATGAATGTGCACTAGTATGCACATACCTTGCCCCATGCATACCCCCCCCCCACATACACACACATATCACATCCCCAAACACATCGTTCTGCTTCATTCACACAGATCCTCCTGTAGGCAGATCATTTGTGCTCTATGTGAAAACTGTTTTCAAAATTGAAATCACAGCACTTCACACTACATGAAGGTAGGAAGAAAAGCGGTTAAAATAATTTGACAAATAATAGAACCGTAGGAAAGTGAGAAAAATGTTCACATTACCCGACTGCAGTAAGTCTAGCCTTGAACTTAATTTTCTGGGATTCTTGAAATATCAGTGATCGCAGCATAAAAGAACAATTAATTAGGCTGTTTGTTCTCCTTGTGTGAGTCGCTGTTGCCATCTACAGTTTAGGACGAGGCATGCAGCGCTGCCCAGTCACTGCTCTGAGGATCCTGGAGATGGCCATGCTTGCTTGGGGAGCACAAACAATGACATGGGTACCTGAAGGAGAAGCTCCTTCTCCACCACCTCTTCTGTCTTGCTGATGAGGCGCTTCTGCAGGGTGTGGATTTTCTGGATCAGCTCAAAGGTGCTGGGGTCACTGGCCTGTCCAAGGAGAACAACGGGAGAGAGCATCAGTTTCAGAGCAATGTGGTCTGTGCGCAGTAATTAGTGCTTTATTCGAATGCCTTCCCCACTTGAAGACCTAGTACATAAAGAATTCAAGCCAAAAGGGAAAAGGGCATAGCAAACGACACTGCCGTACATTCCTGCTCCCAAAAGCAGACCACAGTTTCCCCGCTGTCTCGACCATGGCTCTGACTAACCCAGGGAGGAAAAGTGAGTGTGTTTGTTCTGCCAGAAGAGGAGACCCTAATCATCATGCAACCATGTGTGATGCTTGGTGCTTCCCACATAATATCACATTTTAGCCATGTGACTGTGTGAGGAGATATCAGTCTTCCCCTTTTACAGACAGGAGCATTTAGGAGCAAAGAAGTCATTTGCCAAGGCTGGGAAGAATCCGAGCTGGACTCAAGACGTGCACTGCTCAAAGTCTGTGGTTCTCGTTATGATGCTCTGAGCTCTCCCTGTCACCTCAGGTTTCCATAGGACTGACTTCCCGAAATCAATCAACTCTGGAGTTCCCCCTCTGATGATTGTCAACCAGCAGACTCCATAGAGCCCACAATGGGAAAGGATTCCAGGATGTGGCATCTGCTAAGGGGAGGCAGCAGAATACAGCTGTGGCATTTAGCACTCAAATGGAATCAACCTGGACAGCTTTGACGCTCCTTCAGTAGCTATGTGTGTTTCTCCCAAACAAGAGCTACAGATGTAAGCTCATCGTTTGCCCTCTGGACTTGGAGCCAAGGCTTTGCTTTCAGCCATACTGACACTTTGAATTAATCTAGCAGCTGGATATTTTCAACCACCTCTCAGAGTCCTTAATTGTTTTAAATAGAAATTGACATGGAGTTGGAAATTTCCAAGATCTACATGAGAACACATGGAATAGGCTAATGTGATATAAGCAGGTGTGAGATCTTCAGCTCCACTTCCCAGGCAGATCCATGGTAATCACCGGGTTAGTAAGCTGTGCCACTTTGGGCACTAAAGAGGAATAAAGATGACATTTCATTGACTCTGACTTTGCTTACCCAGCACCAGCTGATGCCCACATAGCTGGACAGGATTTGGCATACATTCACTTGGCAGCCCTGGATGTTGTTAAAATTCAGGCCTTGTATTTACTCAATTTATAATGCATTAACTTTAATACTTTCTCCATTAAAAGAAAATAAAAATAAAACCCTATTTGGATGATTTTTCCACCTCTTACTGAACTTTCTTGTGACATCGACTTATATTTCTCAACATGGTAATTGGTAATTTAGCCAAAGTCCCTTTTGGCACCACATGGCTATGTACAACTAAAAGAGAGGTTCACCCTTGTCTTGACCAAGCAGAGCTGGTCTGTGGCTGTTATTTGCAGGGTTGGTCATGATGCCTAGCAGGAGCCACAGAGTACAAAGTCAATTACCCATCCTTTGCCAGTGGAACTTTCCACTCTGTTGCCAGATCCTAACAGAAAGGGCTTGGCTAACACAGTCTAGGCCTTTGAAAGGATTGAGTCACCAAACAGAATTTCCTGCAGGAAATGGAAGAGTGCAAAACCAATTGGAAGATGGCTAAGACATTGGTGGGAGATATTGCTAAACACAATTAATAGTCAATCCAAAACTCAAAACTACCTGAAAAGCAAAATACATACCCATCAATGAAAGCAATGCACAGCTTTCATGGGGTCTTTTTTAGGGGCAGGTAGGATTTTGTCCAAGACTTTTAAAGCCAAACTCAAATTAGCCATCTGGTTCTAAAACAACCCAATTTACATTTGATCCAGTTTTACACTGTAGGTGACAATTTGCATATCATTAAATTAAAGGGAACCTCTCGTCCTGCTTTAGGTTAGAAGTCTTGAGTGAGTGGGGAGGAGGGAGCAGGAAGGATGCTCCAGCAGGTGGTACCTCCAGCTTCCTCCATCTGTGCACATTCATGGGGTTCTCCAGCTCCTCCTCCAGGGCTCGGCATCTCGTCCTCTCCTTCAAGAATTCTCTTTGCATGTGGAAAAGCTCCTGCCTGGATAAAACAAGCTTTGCTTAGCAAAGAATTCCCTTGAATATGTTATCTTTGCTACAGGGAACTGGCAGATGGCTCGATGTGTAAAACACTTGCCCTGAATTCATAAGGACCAGAGTTCAAATCCCCAGAACCTATATAAAAGCCAACCAGGTATATTGGCCCACCCATAATCCCACCACTGGGAAGACTGAGGCAGATGATCCCCCCTCATAAGCTGGCTTGCCAGTCAGACTGGATCTGTGGGTTCTAGATTCAGCAAGAGATCTATCTCATAAGTAAAGTAGATAACCATTGAGGAATGCACCGGATACCAACCTTTGCTTCCCGTGTGCACATTCACATGCATGCCCACAAACATGCATGTGTACAACACACACACACATGAAAAAAAAACTAATGAATTCATTAGTCATACCATAGACACACTGTATCTGGCATAAAAAGCTGGAACTAAGAAACTTGTTAGCACTGAGAAAGGCCAGCTTCCCCAACCTACACAGGGCACAAAGAATACTAATTCGTTTGGAGTTCAGGAACTGCCTTAGCTCTGAGCAACAGCAGCCTTTAGAATCTTGATTCTGAACGTTCGAGGAATTTAGAAGCGCATGAAAGGAACCAGGTCGGGAAGTGAACCCTGAGAGTCCCAAGATACATTTCAGTGTTTCTTTCTCTACAGTAGTGGTCAGCGAACACTACACTGCAAGCTCCATACCTGCCTGCAAGTTACTGTAGTGCAAGCGAGATGCCAGCCCCAGTTATGGTCCCCTGCTTCCGTCTTCATAGTGGGGTCACGTGGAGTGCTCCCAACATCCCTCTGCCTGGACCCACTCCCCAGAGGGCTTCTGCTATATGGGGTATGGTGCAGGGCCTGCATTTCATGGATTTGAAAAGCCCTGCAGGTAATTCCAATTTGCAGCCTGGATTTGGAGACTCTGAGTTTAGAGCAATGAAGATATCCTACCTTATGTCCCACAGCCACCAAGCATGAGTGGCTAAAAAAAAAAAAAATCCCTGGAGCCCCAGCTCTGTTTCAGATATGTTTCCAAAATCTTCAGGCATCTCTAGTTAATAGGTAGACTATCTCTTCCACCCTCAGTATCCTGAGCGATTCTAGTCAACCTTTGTTGGAGAAGGAGAAGGGACGATGCTTGCTTTGACTCATGTGATAAAGACATCCCTCTCTGTCCTCCTCTGCTGTGGGTGTGCAGATTACTAACATGAAGCTATCTCTTTTACTTAATTGCTTCATTTAAACCAATAATGCAACTTCCCCTCATTAACAAGACAAACCATTAGAATTAACTGCATGATGTTCACTCAACAGGGAGTGCAGAACAAGCTGCTTAGAATTAAAAGCATATTTTTAACACTTTGCTTTTCTAGAACATCCCTGGAAGAGGAAGGAAAACGTATGAGCGGCCATACTTGAGGCCTGACTGTGGAGGAGACTCTGTGAGGTACATTGTGTTTGTTTCTACTACCTTTAACTGTAACTACAAGTCCAAACTTCAGAGACATTTAACAATTTGCCCAAGGTCACACAGCTGGTGGACAGCAGGGCTGCGTGGTCTCCATCCTTTATGAGACTGCCCTCTCCTTGGAAGGGGAAATAAAATCCATTATCAACAAACTAGTAATATTGACTAGCAACAGATCGAATTTGGTCCTTTTTATATGTCATAAAAATAACTCGTGGCTGACAAATGTAATGACAGACCTTAAGGTCATTCAGTGGCCACTTAGAATGAGCCCACTTGTCGCTCATACGTCAATGGGGTTCTCTCTGAGTAGTAATGTTTCTAATCCCTTCTGTGTGTGTTTCATGCATCTCCCACATGTTCTACAATGAATATGTACTACATTCATCATCTGGAAGACAAACAACTCCAAAAACAAAAGGATCGATCCATCCTTGATAGTGGCAAGCTCCCAACTCCTGCATCTGAGCATCAGAAGTATCTTTTCTTCTAATTAATAGAAGAAGCAGATCCAAACCACATCCTTCTCCCACAGTGGCCCAGGAGAAGCTGCACCTCTCCAAGTCTATGGGGAATAAGGGGAGTCACCAGGGAATGCCAGATCTCTCATTCAGTTCCCTGAAATGGCTCATAGGAAACATGAGGATGTTTTCCCACAGGGAAAGCAGATGCTGTGTGGTGCAAGATTTCAAGAAGGAAGGTGGAGCTAAGTGAAAGCCGCAGAAGATGAATCAAGAGGCAGGTAGGAAATTTGGCCACCTTTTAAGGAAACAGATTTTCAGAGAGTAATAAAATTAAATTTTCCACCTCTTTCTATCATATATGTTATTCCAAGAAAAAAAGACGTGCATACATTAGCAAGATGGCATTTAAATATTGATGCTCAGTCTCTTGCATGCTGCCTGATTAAAGGAATTCCAAAGAACTCACTGAGGGGGAAAACATTCTGAATTGTAACTCATTGGTGTTTGCTTGTGTTTGTGCTTTGATTTGAAATTTTTTTTTTTTTGAAAGAGCCAGAAGGGTGTTTTAATGACCCTTTTGCTGTCCTCCACACCCCCTGGAGGAGACTGGCCTGTTTCTGTGACACAAAGTGTGAGCACAAGGGAGAATTTCTGGAAGAGTTATTCTTATCCAATGGACCCTTTCGTCCTGTGAAGTCTATTTTGTGTCATTTGCTTAAAGCCTTCAAAGACCCACACAAGGTCATTTTGTAGGGGGTCCCCATAGACTGCCCTGAGCATCTCTTACCTGAGCTCCTCCACGTTAGCCACACTCCTGGCGAGGATCCCCTTCTCCCTGCGCAGCTTCTTGATCTCCAGCTTGAGGATGCGCATGTCCTCCACCCTCTGATTGTACTGGGTCTCGCCTTTGTTCAGCACTGACTGCTGGATCTTGATCTTCTCATATAACAGGGCCAACTCATCATTGCGCCGAACAAGTTGAGACCCAAGGATGTCTCTCTCGCTGATGACCTGGAAAGACATGGCCTCTTGGAATGGAAAAAAAGTCTCCCTTTCCACCATGACAGCAGCATCCAATCCGTCCACAAATATCTACTGCTTGTCTACACGTTCCCGGTGGGCAGGACACTGAAAATATCCCACTGGATACTCAACATGGCACTTCTCCAATTGCTGTAGCCATGGTCTGGTAATTCGGTAATGCTTGGCCTAAAGCTGTGTCCTTCTGTTTGCTTTTCCCAGGCTATTTTTTAATTTATCTATTTTTATGTGCATGGATGTTTTTCCTGTATGCATGTCTGTGTACCTGGTTCGTGCAGTGCCCACAGAGGCTGGAGGGGAGGTCATCAGATCTCCTGGCAGTGGGGTTACAGACGGCTGTGCACCATCATTCAGGTCCTGAGACTTGAACCCCAGTCCTCTAGAAGAACAATCAGTGCTCTTAGCCCCTGAGCCTCTGCTCCAGTGCCTCCAACCCCATTTTCCAGAATGTTTCAATTTGAATGCATTCCTGGTAGGCCAACTCTTGTCAAGTTCCATCACATCTTACCTGTCACACTGACCAACTTCTCCCTGACAGGACCCTGTGAGCATCTAGATTTCTGACTTTTAGTAAAGTGTGGTGACACAAGCCTGTAATGTGCAGTCCCAGAATTCAGGAGGCTGAGGCAGGAGGATAACCAATTAAAGACCAGCCTAGGTTGCACAGGGAGACCTTTTCTCTTTTCAAAAAAAAATTGTTTTTCAAATCCTAAAATTATACACTTGAATTTCTATCATGTAATTATGAATGGCATTTATGTATGGGCAGCTAAATTATGTTAGAGCTTACACTCTCTGAAAACAAGGAACTATGGTTATATTGGCCAATGTGTCCCCAGTGCTTAGAAGGATAACTGATGCCAGGAAGTGCTCATAAGTGTGAACAGAATGGATAACTATTTCACAGTCAGCCTGAGACTCTACGGCTGATCTTCAAACATGGCTTTGCAAAGGGCAATGGATTCATGGTTACTAGTGGAGGCGTGACGAGGAGCATCTACCTGGTCTAATTCCTTCTTCTGCCTCACTCTCTCCCCGTCAGCCTCGGCGATGATGCGCAAGAGTTTCCTCTCTTCCACCTCCTGCTTTTCAATGAAGTGTTTGGTCTCCAGGGCTTGCTGTCTCAGCTTCTGTAGCTCGGCCTGGCAGAGAGTGGGTGATTCAGACACATTGCAGTGAGCAGTAGCCTAAGCAGGACCAGTGGGCTGGATTTGGCTGCACGGCCATGCTTCTGCGTTCCTCTCATGCTCCATTTAACAGAGTTCAAGTGCTATCCTAACCCAAACAAGCTGAGTGTGCTTGTGCATGCATACCCACTAAGAACAATGCCCATTACAATAATCCTGGTTATTCTGGAAGCTGTGCCCTGAGGGTTTCCCTATCACTCTTCTGTATGAGCACAGAAGGGGTCTCATGGGATTCAACAGCATACTCCCCTCCCCACCACAATTCACTAAGAACAGTTCAGGAGTGGGGTGTGGGTGAGAACAGGGAAGGTCTCTACATGTCCCAGTTTCTCTAGTGGTCCTACCACAACCAGCACACTCACTGCAAAGAGAGGGTCTATTGTGAGAATGAATTGAATTAGTCAAAAGTAACAACTAAGCCTCTCTCTTGTAAAAACATTTTGACAGGACAGAGGGGATGTTATGATATATATTAAAAAACATTCTAAGACATCTCCAATGCAGAAATGAAGATATGATATACAAGCAGTATACAAATAATATGCACATTGTTGAGTTCAGGCAACCATTTTCAGGATCCTATTTGTTATTTTTGTATCTGTGAGTGTTTAGGTGTGTGTGTGCACATACGTGTGTATGCAGGTGCACATTTGGATGAAAGCCAGAGGTCAGTGTCATGTGTTGGTCTCTCACTGGGCCCTATCTGCCCAGCAATTTGACTAGGATGCCTGGCCAGCAAGCCCCAGGATCCACTCATTCCTGACTCTGCAGCACTGGGATTCTGCATGTGTGCCACTGTCTGTGCCCAGCTTTCTACATGAGTGCTAAGGATCCAACTAGCATGCTTGCACAGAAGCACTTCCCTGACTATTTCCCCAGCCTCTGCCCCTACACACACGCACACGCACACGCATGTGCGCACGCACGCATGAGCCAGTCTCTTTTCTATCATTTAAACAGTGAGTTGGTATCACAGGAAGTCAAAGAAAAAGCCATCACCGAACAGTGACCTCAGAGATGCTTTCTCAGAGCGTTCACGCCTCAGTCAAGGTTAACTGGAGGCTAAGGTGGAGTTAACTAGAAATACAGGAAAATGGGGAAACGGGATATTAAATTAGGAAAGGAAAATTCCTCCCATTAAAGCCACTTCTATCAACCGCACAGCATGCAAGTGACTTACAATATGCCAAGCACGATACTGTGCGTCCCCACACAGAGACAAAGGGAGGCACATAATTTAGCCAATGTCACTGAGTTAGTAAATAGTGAAGTTTAGATATCCAAGCAGGATCTTTTGATGCAAAAAAACCTGTGCTCTGTCTACTGCCTGCATCCAAGAGCTACAAATCAAACACAAAAGATGAGTAAGACAGTATTCATTACCCACTGAAGATGACTGATGTAGCTAACAACTGCAGGAACATGCCATCTGCTGGTGCAGAAAGGGGCGTGAGCACACACGAGAAGGAGGTTATATGCCTCCTTGGGGTTGACAGAGAAGAACGAGTCAAGTCCTTGGCAGGTGACAGATGATGGCCAGCTGGAGAGGTGTGTGTTGGAGGGAGGCATCCAACAGTCAGGCTACATGAACTAGCTCGGGCAAACTGAAACATCTGGTGTGTTGAGCGGACAGAACACAGTGCCCCCTATGTGGCTGGATCAGAGGGCCAGATTGGGAGGAAGAGAGGCTGACAAACAGCTGGGCAGGCCTGGGAAGGGTCCTGTGATTGAATACATTGTGGAGAGTATGCCTCAAGGAACCAGTACTTCCCATGGCAAAGAAAAGAAGAATGTGTCTTAGGGGGGTTCCATGCCCGGCCAGGAAGGACAGGTAGGACTGCTAACCAGTTAGTACAGGGGAGAGGAATGAGAAGGAGGAGCTCTGCCTCCCCCCGCCCCGCCCCTGTAATCACAAGGGTGGTGATGGGAAGATGTTAAGCCTCCAATGGGTGTGCGATTTGCTACAAATGACAGCGCAGGGCTTATACTTTTTTCCCTTCAGGTAACTATTGGGATCCCCACACTCAAGCGTGCCAAAATAACAGGAGGTGTATGAAGCAGCCCAACTGAGGTTAAAGCCTGATTCTAGGCTCTGAGGGCCAGGAGTCATAAACTCCATACTGCAGCTTATCCAAGCGGTAAGAGATCGCACACACCCTCTGTTAGATGTGTCGTGTGCATGGTAAGTACAACTAGCTACTGTGAAACCAGGCTGTCTTTGATGACATTTTGTGTGTTCATTCATGAAATGTGTTTTGATCCAGGGATAAGCAAAATGAAATACTGACTGAGAAAAGATCTGGTCTAGTATTTAGCACTCGAGGGGAGTGCCTGTTAGAAAAGAGAGTGAGAAACCAGCCTTTTCCGGTTCTACAATCATTTAAGGTGACAGTGAAGACATCAATGAAATACCTGTTTGGCTCAAGCTTCCCTTCATAAAACTTTTATTTTCCCATCTCTGCACACTCACTTCTCTGTTCCTAAGTGCCAAGAGTGGATCAGAATCCATCAGCAGAACGAAATGAAACCCTTGTTATATTAAAATGCAATCAACAGTGTGTAAAAGTATCTGTCTGAAATGTAAAACCAGCCACGCGCCAGGCATTGCTGGGCACCTTTTTCGTAATAGATCAAAATTTTGAGTGGTGTCCTTATGTCATAAATTTATGGGCTGTAAACAAGATGTGGCATTATGCATTGGCAGCAAATGTTAGCATCAACAAAATACCTAGGGCCTAATACATTTAGCGGTTATAAATCTGAACTGCCTCTCAGGAAGGGTGACAGCCGCTATGGACCCAACTGCTCTACACCCATCAGGCAACATCCCAGGTAGGACCTGGAGTTTCTGCACCTGCCAAATGCACTACTGGTGGCAGGAGGTGACAACGAGACGACGAGACACGCCCTTCACTGACAATTTTGTTCAGCTTCAGCGTTACACAATTTTGAAATCAGTGCTTATGGACTGATTATCATCAAATATGACTCTAGACATAAATCATATCTCAAGAGCCAGATTTGGGAGAGTCTCACTGGCTAGGGCATGGACCTCCTGAAGTCTTCACCCAGGGGTGTAATTAGACCTTTTCTTGCCCTCACCCCACTACCTCCCATGGATGACAGCTCCCCATTCATGTCCTGGCACAGAGTCACTAAGTGGAAGTATGCGGTACCCTGAGGCCAGTCCCTAATATGCTACTGAGCTCTGGAGGCAGAGAACTTGCTGCTGCATTATTCACAGAGAATCAAAGCACTGTCAAACAGATGCAGGATGATTGGGAAGAGGTGAGACAGCATCGGGGGCTTGTTAGGACAGGAAGGCAGACATTGCAGATGAGATGGCTCCTTCAGTGTAGATGAAACAAGATGAGGACAAGATGAACTAAAGGATGAGGACTGAGCCTGATCTACAGAGATCTCCTGGCACGCTGTCGGAGGTGTGACGCACTGACAGTGTCTATGATCCGAGGCAGTAGAGACTGATGATAACAGAAATGGGGAAAGAAAGATGCAAAGAGTGAAACTGTTCAGATAAGGGGAGTGAGTGGGGTGCAGATGACCCCCTACGACAACTGTCTCTCTGGAGGTTTTGGGAGGCAGTGGGTTGGGTTATCCTAAAAAGTGCATCTCATGATCTACTGAGTCCGTGAGGCTGTGCCCCTCCAAAGGGATTATGTACCCACATCGTTTGGAGAATAAAAGATAAAGTCTTTGGGGGCAAAGTTACTAGAGAAACTGCTCTTTCCTCTGGGGTTTTCAGTCTCAAACTGAAGATACTTGCAACCCAGAGGCCTGTGTGGAAATGTGATTCAAATTCTTAGTCAAAAATCCATCAATAGGCTGGAACTCCGAATGTGAGCTGTCATAGTGTTCTAAGGAATGTCAAACAGGCTTAACGTTAGGCCAGAATCACCCATATTCACAGCACCATGACCAGTCACCCTTGGACAACCTCAGATAAGAAATCAAACAAGCTTAATTCTTTCTCTGTTCCCCATCCTTACCTCAATGAGAATGCTGGTAATTCCACTTCCACAGCCCATCTAAAACCACCACCTTCCTATAACCGGTGGCCAAAAGCCATCCAGATCTGAGACTCCCCTTTTGGAGTTCACCTCCAAAGCAGAAGCTTTTTAGTTACTGTCATGTCTACTATTCACCCACTCTGCTTGCCTGGGGATGCATAAATATACAACCTACTGCCCTGTATTTTATTATGATGTTTCTTTGGCATTATATTTATAGATGCCTAATAGTGGAAGGCACCATTAAAATAGATATCATCAACAACGAACTTGAAAGAATTAGAAGTAATTGATCTTTTGTCTGGGAGGCTGTTTATTTTAGAGTGAGATTCTGTAGGAAGCACTTAATTCCATCTTGGACTTCACTGTGGGCTGATGGTTAATCTTCTGAATTGGGCATCACTTGGGAAGTAGAGATGAGAATCAGTGCATCCTCTAAGAGAAAGAGATGATATACCAATTAGCAAGGCTTATTACACCAAAGCCTTGCTAATGTGGTCCAAAAGTCCCCTGGTGCAGCAGGGTTTATAATGAGATTTTTCTAATTTGTTCAACAGTAACTAAACCCCATCCTGCTATTGACTCTGGGATAAAACAAACTGTCCCCCATTTAAACAACTTTTGAGCAAGAATAAAGACAAAGATGCAGAATATTTTCAAAGTTTTTAAAGTTCTTCTCATATCAATAAACTTTAATGAAGAACTTTCCATTCTTTTTCATGAGCTGGAGTGATGGAGATGAAAGTCCCAGATAAATATATCAACTACCACATCCTTTTCGTAAAGGCACTTTTGTTATAGTTTAATCTTTCTCAAACCAAATGTGCCTTAAATTAATTTAATGCAACAATTCCATTTCCATGAAAACCTATCATTAGGATGCCAAGCCTGTCATTAAATTAAGAGTACATATTTCAAACTACGGCATTCTAGAATCAAGGAAATGTGGCATTAAACCTGTGTGATGGTGCGTGCACATTTTCATGACAATGTCTTTCTTTGAAAGCTACTGTTTGCAGAAACCATAGCACTCTGTCTCTGACTCACTGTAAAGGTTCAGGTGGCTCTTACAAATCTATAAGTATTATGCATGTGTATTGTTTACATAAAAATTTCATCACTGTCTTAGATATTCTCTTTTTAGTTCCTTGGTCAGATGAAGTAGACAGGAACTCTATCTTCTATTGTCTTAGTGTATGCAGAATATTCTAAACTAGTAGGTTTAAAGGGCTTGCCTATTAGGATGTGGAGGTACCTGCCTGTAATCCCAGAACTAAAGAAGTACAGGCAGTGAACTGGCCATCTCCTGAGACCAGAATGGTACCCAACCCAACTGTCATCAGAAAGGTGTCATCCAGGAACTGATGGAAACAGATGCAGACCCACAGCCAAACATTAGGCAGAGTAAGGGGAATCCTGGAGATGGAGAGAAAGGATCATAGCCAGAGAGGTCAAGGACACCACAAGAAAACTCACAGAATCAACTAACCTAGGCTCACAGGGGCTCACAGAGACTAAGCCAACAACCAGGGAGCTTGCATGGGATTGACCTAGGCACTCTGCATATATGTTACAGTTGTGTAGCTTGGTCCTCTTGTGGGACTCCTAACAGTGGGAACAAGTGTTGTCTCCAACTCTTTTACAGGCTTCTGGGACCCTATTCTTCATATTGGGTCCCCTTGCCCAGCCTTAATGCATGGGGAGGTCCTTAGTCTTACTACAACTTGATACGCCATGTTTTGTTGATACTCATGGGAGACCTGCCCTTTCCTAAACAGAAATAGAGAAGGAGTGGATTGTGGGATAGGAAGAGAGGGGGGATGAGGGGAGGACACTGGGAAGAGAGGAGGGAGGGGAAACTGGGATGTAAAATGAATTAATTTTGAAGAAACAAGAGAAGGAGGAAGAGGAAGAGAGGAGGAGGAGAGGGAGAAGTACAGGCCAGAGGCTCATCATGAGTTTGAGGCCAGCCTGAGCTACTTAGCAAGACTCTATCTCAAAAAAGCAAGGGCTGGATATATAGCTCAGTAGTAGAAGGTCTTGGATGTACAAGGGTGTGCATTCACCCCCAGAATCATAAAAAAGCAACTAAATAAACAAGTGTGTCTTAGTAAGATCTTTGGAAACAGGTGTTCCCAGAAGGAGAGGCTGCAAAGGTCTGAGACCCCTAGATGCAAAGCCATCTATGAACCTGGTCCAGGACAAACCAAGAGAGGGAAAAGCTCTAGCACCTGATAGGGAACAACACTGCAGACAGAAAAGTCACCTGCTTAGGGACAGATGGACAAATATCATCTGATTGAAAGCCCAGAGTGGCATCTGAGGGTGTTGGGCCTGAGCACAGGGTTCATCATGGTTTGTGAATACAAATGGGTGGTTAAGTAGTCTATAAAGTCAAGGGCTTCCTGGGCACTACCGATATGCTAGCTTCTCTTCCATTGAGGCATGGTGGTCATAAATGAGCTAGGAGCCGTGGGCCTCCACCAGTCTCCTCTCCCGCTGGCCTAGGACCATCACCTATGATTATCACCATTCCTGAGACGGCAGAGGTGATCCTCCCAGGACCTGGTGTGGGTGGCTTCTGGAGATTAGCAACTGAGACTACAAGCAGCCTTCCTTGGTTGCTCTTGCTGCTTCCGGTGAGCAGGAAACTGCCTCCACCAGGAAGATGCCAGCCTAAGCGTGTGCTGTAAGCCTGGTACCTTCAGTGTTTCCTTCTCCTTCTCGATGCGCTGCTGCTCCAGATGCAGCTTCACAAGTGCAGCCTCCTTGGTGGAGATTTCTTCCTTCAGCTGGTCCACCTGATGCGTCATGATCTTTAACTTTCTCTTCATCTCTGTTATTTCATCCTAACGAAAGGAAGGGAGAAAGGTTTGGAAGCCAAACAAACAGCATCCTCCCCACGGTAGTTCAACATTTATTTAAGAGCTCTCTCAAAAAAACAATATCTGACCAAACCTGACTGGGCTATTCCTTTGTCCCATATGCCCGTCAACATCCAAGTACCTTCTAGCGATGACAGAGAAGAGCCTCAAGAGACATACACAACATAAACAGTGCCATATACAGCACACATGTGCAAACACATACATATGCAACACACACAGGAACAAATCAGAAGCACAAAAATCATTGCAAAGAGATTCCAAAGCCAGGTTCTGCAATTTAAACAGGAATGAATACGGACAATTGCACTCTGAGCCTTGGCAGCTACCAAGCGTTCTAAAACCCAAGAGCACAGTGACAATCCTACGTCGCGATTTAAAGGAGGCCATGCTCTCTGTGTCCTATCGAGTTGCGTCACTCCCATTTCCAGCAACTTTACAGTGTGTATAAACTGATGCTTCTTCAGGTAGCTTGAGCAGGGTTTCTTAGTCTTGTCTAATGCTGCTGCCATCAGAACAATAGTAAGTTCTTTAAACCCAGTGTAGAGAGAAATCAAAATGTAAGAACATACACACTGTTCACCTGGGCCTCCATCAGGTGAGGACACACACTTTGCTCATCTGGGCCTCCACCAGGTGAGGACACACACACACACACACACACACACACACACACACACACACACTGTTCACCTGGGCCTCCACCAGG